TAAACTTGACTTGGAACTTGAAAACGCATAATAAATTCATATAGTTTTTCTGTAAAGTATAAAATTAATGTGCAGTACGACAAATAAAAAAGTTTATACAACTAATGCAATGTCTGCTGGAAATCATTAATATTCACAAATAAACACTACCTTTTTGAAAAAAAATGTTTTCAATCAGAAATTCAATAAGAAACTTATTTGCACATGTACACCTTACTTTAGCCACCGGCAGCTTTGTCAGCTCAGGTTCTGGGGACAAGTATTTGAAGCTAAAGTCAAAGGTTACAGTCTTATATTTCCATTTTTCTATATGGCTGAAAACAAACCACAATATAATGATGCATGCTCTGGATGAAACGCAATAGATCCTTGGCAGCGTGACCTACAGCGAGAGCCACAGTGCAGGGCGTATCTGCACTGATGTGCTGAAAAATTATATTACATCTTCAGTGCCGGGAGCTGCTCGGATTCTTGCACCCGTTTCACATCGAAACGCTTCAGTAGAGCCGCACAGATCTCACTCACCATAAAGGAGCATTGAGGAAGCGTGTAATTCTGAGGTGTGCTTGAATTAACTCGGTAAAATTTGAAAAAAGATCAAATAAAATCCACGGCCCCTCCCTCAGTGGTGATTTGGAGATCAACAAAGTTGAAGCCTTTGACCCGTCGATAACACTGAACATCTGGAAAGGCTCTTTTGACGTCATCAACAGCCTAATCGGTTGTTTGACTCCAAACACTCTGCGTTTATGAATATCTGATGAACGCCAGGGTGAGCTTATGAATAAGTGAGGGGACCAGCTGTGCGTCAAAAAATAAATAAATAAAAAATAGAGACTTCAAGGATCTTACTACAGTGGAGCAACTCAAGAACAATATCTGTTCCTAACAAGTATATAAATAAGTTTTTTTTTTTTTTTTTTTTGGGGGGGGGGGATGTTCATACACTCCTGACGTTAAGTCTTTGACTGGTTTATAAATAAGCTGTGATTTTTTTAAAAATGATTAATTATTAATCCTTGCAGTAAAACAGATCAAGTACAGAGCACAAACACTTAATTTAACTCATACGTCTTTCAACCATTTTCTGCTGCTCATCCAAAACTGAATTGTGCTTTCAGATAGGCCTGTCGCGATAAACAATAAATCAATTAATCACATGATAAATGAAATTTATCGACCTCATTTATTTATCGGTTTTATCATTTATTTATTTATCTCTCTTTCTACTGAAGACACTGGATGACAAAAAGGCTCAACTCCGGTGCTCTTCACTGACCCCTCCCTTTCTCTTTTCGCTTTAAAATCCATTTTAACCGTCCAAAACTACAATTTTGGATGGTTAAAAGCAGCTAAGCTGAGAAGCTTAGCTATGAGCTAGCTAAGCTGAGAAGCTTAGCTATGAGCTAAGCTAACAGGCCGACCACGGGAAAAAAAAAAACCTCTGTCTTGTCGAAACTCCAAAAATTCACGGTTGAAACCTGTACCTTCATGTAAAATGTTATTTTTCTCTGCAAAAAGAAGCTGAAAACTTGTTTACCGTTTTTAAAAAAATATATATTAAAAGCTTTATGTGAAAAATGCTATGCTAAAGAGCTCAAACCACACCGAGCGTCCGTTATATTGAGAACCAGAAAAAACGGAAAGTGAGACAGCCCATGTCACGTCAAGGGGCCTCCCTCCCATTTTTCTTAAAGAGACACACTGCTCACTCCCTCACTATCAATCCTTCGGTTCAAACCGTCTTATACTGTCATCCGGTGGTCAAAAAAGCTACTACACACAAAACAAATTAACAAACATGTCTTCTTAAATTTGACAATAAAACTAATCGTTGTCAAATTTCAAACAACGATATCGTTTATCGCAATCATTTCTGAGACAATCATCCAGCAAAATTTGTTATCGTGACAGGCCTACTTTCATATAAACCTGATATTCCTTAACTTTAATTGAAGATAGTCTTCATTCTTTGTTTATTGACACCTCCAGTTGTAAGAAGTTGCCCAGCAGAAGGTGATAAAATTTCAGCGCTGACCTTGAGGAAGGCAGCGAAGGAAAGAAAACACGGTCCCTCAGCACATCTGTGCAGAGGTAGAGAAGGAAACAACGATGAGCAGGAGGCGGACTGAAAACACTTTTTTTTTTGCATGTGTTGTCTTCATCTGTGTTCGTCCCTAGGGGTGCCAGGGAAGGTAGGTTCTTGCGAGTGAGCGTTTCTCTGTGTGAGCAGCTGTGACTAAGGGCGATTGTTCAAACGCATTGTGTGAATGTTAAGTAGCAAGAACCCTTGCATACTCGCTAATACCTACACCCCAGTTCAAACCAACACATACAAATCATTATCTTTCCAAATGTGTGACTTTCTAGACACCTGAGATCTAAACTGGACACAGAACTCAAGTCATTCATGCATAAAAGACCAAAACGTCTACAGTTGCATGTCACTAATAATGGCTATGTAAGTAGTACAAATCGCAGTGAGCTATCTGCTTACTTTTGTTCTTTTTTGTTAGTTCCCTAATTTTCAAAACCAACCCCATACAGAGCGAATGTAGCAGTGTAAACTCTTGGCTCTTGCACAAATGAGAGCTCAAGACTATAGTTGTATATTAGACTGAAGCAATTTGCCAATATTTGCTCTAATCTTTTATGATTGCGTTGCACGGTAGGTATTAAACTGATTCCCCTTATTCACAGCAACTTAGCATTCAACAGGGGATAAGCGTCTTCCTCGGGGATGGTTTCACTGCAAATATAGACGCCTCTTTCTTTCTGCCATTGAATTGCAGGTTCAGACCGTTTACTGCCAGAACACAACCTGCTGTCTACCCACGTTCAGATAGGATCACCTACAGCCACCAAGTACAAATCGTCAGAACGGCAAGAATCAGTTTGATTTCAAAACAATATGGTGAACTAAAAGGGGAAAAAAGGTCCAATATTCACATACGCAGCCTGACTTCTAATCTCACTTGTGCTGCCGCCTTTCCATCTACAGTGACACACACACACCCATAGCACAGTTCAACTGATCTCACTAAAGATTGCAAGCTTGTTGTTTCTCTTGGATGGAGACTGATCATGAATTGACCTTGGCTCTGTTTTCCAGCAGTTCTCCTTTAAGTCTTCAGTACTTTTTTACCAGTACTTCCCTTGGAACTGTGGTTTATATGTACACTGTATGCGTATTGCACTAAAACCAAATGTGATGGGCATTATAACACCTGTTCTTTTGAATCAGTGAAAAATACCACAATGTGGTTTAGATGTAATAAATGCAAGCTTTCAGAGTATACTATATTCTATTTTTAGAATCTGTCTTCTTTATTTATGCTGTTTTCATCCTGAGAATAGAAATGATTGACAAGCTAATCATGTTTATACTTTAATTATGTTGCAAATAACTTCTGTGTGAAGTCACTTAAAAGAGGAACCAGACTGAAATAAGCTCATTTTTATCATTTTAACGTCCAATTTGCCCTGTTAGTATAAAGGCATGTGTGGGGAAAAAGATGTATATTTTAAATTTTATATTCACAACCCTAATATTTCAAACCTCTTTTAATCTACATTAGGGTCATCATTAGAAAGGCTTTGCTGCAGTCACCTGAATAATGTCCAATCTGTGTGATTTTCCTATCTTTCTATTTGCTGTTTAGAGTCAGGGCAAACCAATACCAAGACACTGAGTCACTCAGACGTTCCCTGAAGGTAGAGATGTATTTTTTGCCCATGCGTCATCTCGGGAGTATCATTGATTTGTGATATTTACTGCTCTGATCTGACATCACAATGATAATGTCTCAATCTTACAAGGTAGGATGTACATTTCTCTATGTGCACTTTGAAGGCAGCTACCTCTTAATACGCATCACCTCGGACATTTAGTGTGAATGGGAACAATACCCTCTTTTCTTACTGCAACCACACATACGCACTACACAAGATGCACAAAAATAGAAACAACATGCAGTTGTATTAGTGAATATTGTGAGGACAATATCAGTATAACTCAAGGGCAGCGGGTCCATCTGATTGGTTGAATATGTTATTGACATGCAAACACAATTGCAGGTACACACAATATAATAACCTTTGATTTATTGCTGTCCGAGCTATCCTTTTGCTATTGATATTGTGCACAATAATATGATGACAGGTAGCTTTTTGCCATGTTATGCATCCCATATAAAGTTCAGCATTCATCTATATGTAAGGTTCTATAAGAGTGCAAGACAAGTCCAGGACACTTACTACGACTGAGCTCTTACAAAAGACTATTTTTCCGATCTTTCAGTCAGTCTTTTTACACAGCAATCGTTTTATATTACCTACAGAGCATTAGTTTTTTTTTTTTTCTTCTTCTCTTTTTCGGGGTAAATTGAACTCCTTCGGAGGAACTGCAAACCAAATACCCTTTGCAAATCAGTGCGGCAGCTCTCAGTGTAGCTTCAAAACAATTCAAAATGAGTATTAACCTCCTGCTGCGTCTCCATTCCCTTTCTCAAAGAATGGTGCATAAAAATGGAGATATCGTATAGAAAATATGTCCTACATGACAAAGGAAATTCAATGGGACATGTAAATTCTCCAAAATGCACTTTTGAAGAAGTTACAATAGGATAAAAGGATAAAGATGATGTGAAAGGTGTTCATTTGGGGAAAAAAAAGCCTGTACATATATCCCCTCATGTTGCTCCTTTGATCAAAAAAACGCCTGATGTTTCTCAACACAGCCATACATGTTAAATAAATCCCCTAACCACATCTTCACATGAGTGAATACAACAACTGCTATATCACAAAGGCCACAGCACATTGTATCTGATACAAAGCTATATCTAGCACTAACAAAACTAATTAAAAAAAAAACGGTAAAGTGTGTCTGTGAGGCTGTCTACCATCGAATGTCCTGCAGGAAATCTCTAACCAGTATGTGCGCATGTGCTTCCTATGTCTTAACGGTTTCTTAATCTCCTTTCAGTGTTTGCCCCTACCATTCTCCATGTGCTCTGCCTCACCGACACTGCCATCCGGCGTTGTCCTCTCGTAGCTGTCCTCAGGCAGGGGAAGGGCGCCCAGCCGGGGGCCCGAAGAACTCTTGCTGCTGGGTGTCTCCGACTCATCCAGGCCGCTGTCGTAGCAGCTCTGCAGTGATCCCTGCTGGTGAGGGTCCTGGGGCTGGCTCACCACCGAAAAGGTCACTCGGCGGAACGGCTACAAGAGAAACCAAACGTCCGGGGGTCACTATAAAAGGGACTGTTTTCACTTTGTTTTTAAAATGTATTTGTTAGATTTGAACTAGGATGTTGGGTCCGCTGGAAATCAGAGGTGAGATTCAGGTCAGGCTGTCTAGGAAAAGGGGAAAAGGGGCTAAATATGCGTAGAAGTAAACAAACTAGATTTCAAAGAACTCAGTAATGGAACTAACAAAGTAACCTAAACATCAAAGCTGGCTAACCTAAAAATATCACAACCGACTTTATCCTTGTAGCTTAGAGGTAGACGAAGACATTTTTATCATGACCCTGCCTTTTTCTTAATTTAAACTTTTTTTAAAAAGTAGCCATTGCAACAAAACATGAAGTAGGCAGTTCTAGGTTTTAATGCATTTTAGGCAACCTAGCAGGTACCTAGACTGGCTATGTCTCTGTACTGGGCATAACTACATACAAAAATACAAAAATCAACCTTACAGAATGCATCAATAATGAATATATACATAGTGTAATATCAACTAACAAGAAGGCAACAACTAACCAAATAAAGAACATAAATAGAAAACTTGGCAATCAACTACAGGAAATGACAATGCCAACAAAACAGAGAACTTGACTAACTAAACAAAGAACACACCAACCAACTAAACAGACAACACCACTAAACAGAATGCAACAACCAACTAAAAGAACCAACTAGGCAGAATGCAACA